GTAATATGATATGATGCAATGCAGATGGATAAACTGAGCCACCTAATCAAAGCCAGATCACCAGGAACAGATAGCATACCAATAGAACTGCTTCAGAATTGACTCTAGTCCTAACTAAAATCTGCAACAAACATGGAAAGCAAAGCAATGACCCACCAATTGGAAATGCTCAGGATCCATTTCTAAACACCCCCTAAAGGAGATGCAAACTATTGCACTAACTACAGGACCATTGTATTAATTTCCCATGCAAGTAAAGTCATGGTCAAAATTCTACAGCGAAGCCTTCTATCAAAAATGGAGTGAGTATTCCCAGAGTTGCAAGCTGGGTTCAGGAAAAGAAAATCAGTATGTGCTTCATAGACTACAGTAAAGGCATTGATTGTATAGATCATGAAAAGCTATAGATCACTCTTAAAGAAATGGGCGAGCCATAACATTTGATTGTCCTGATGCATAACCTGTATTGAGGACAAGGGGTTACCGTCAGAACAGAATACAGAGAAACAGAGTGGTTTCTAATCAGAAAGGGGGTCAGGCAAAGCCCCATTTTACCATCCTATTTGTTTAACTTGTGTGCTAAAAAATATACACAGAGTAGGTATAGACTTGGAGGAAGGAGGAGTGACAATTGGAGGAAGTACCATCAACTATTTAAGATATGCAGATGACACCATACTACTAGCAAAAAAATAGCAAAGACTTGGAATAAATATTGAAGAAACTCAGAGAAGTGACTTTGGAAGGCAGGTTTACTGTTGAATATTAAGAAAATGAAAATAACCATGGAGGATTTACATATTCAATATAGATGATGAAAAAATTGAAATAGTCTAAGATTTCCCTTGCCTTGGATCCATCTCTGATTAGAATGCAAATTGCAGTCAAGAAATCAGGACTCAGAAGAGCAGCTATGAAGGAACTAGACAAGACCCTGAAGGGCAAAGATACATCACTTAATACTAAAGTTAGGCTTGTCCATGCCATCATACTTCCCATCACTATGTATGGATGTGAGAACTTTCAAAAAAACAATAATGCTGGGAAAGGTGGAGGGAAGAAGGAAGAGAGGAAGGCCATATAGCACAATACGAAGCGGTATATAAATGAAGCTGCTGCTTTGCTTTGCATATGCTAGATGGATGGACTCTATCAAGGAGGTCACAGGTATTAAGGTGTTAAGCAGGGCAGTGGAGAACAGAGGGTCTTGGAGACGTCTCTTCCATAGGGTCACCATGAGTCAAGATTGGCTCAAGGGCAGTTAACAACAAGTGGCACCAGAGCTCCCTTACAGAGAAGACTAAATATCTCACAAAATAACCAGTCCCAGAATTCCATAGCATTGAGCCATGGCAATTAAAGTGGTGTCAAACTGGATTATTTCTGCAGTGTGGATGTAGCCTAAGTGAAGGCTATCATACTTCAGCTACATCATAAGAAGGCATGATTCACTAGAGAAGGCAATAATGCTTGGTAAACTGATGAGAATAGGGTGTCTTGGAGATTTCTCATTCACAGGGTTGTTGTAATGGGTTGAGGTTGACTTGAAGGCAGCTAACAATAACAACAATGAGGGGGGCATGGGGTGCATACCATTTTGTCCTTGGACAAAAGGCAGGATAAAATGTAATTAATAAATAAAGTCAATATGTTTTTCTTTTTGCAAAAGCAAGAATTTGGTTGATTTTGTCCTGTGGTTATTTCATGTGCTATGCTATGTCGGTGTGCATTTACTGTTCTTTTTTTCTTTCTTTCCTCTTTTTTTTTATTTATTGTAATGTATTTTTGCTAGTTTCTTTTAATCCATTGACCACTCGGAGCACTGAAAAAACAATGTTTAAGTATGTCAAAGAACAATCATAAATGCATGAGGGAGCATTTTGAAACTCCTAACCTTAAAAAAGAACGAGTCCCAGCCTAGAACCAGTGGTCGGGTTATAAGAAGATAATGCTGAAAACAAAACAAACTTTTTTTCAGCTTTCCTTTCCTTTAAAAAGAAATCTTTTGTCCATAATAGGTAAAACTGCCGGACTGGAATATATATATATATATATATATATATATATATATA